GTGATGCTTGTTATATAGGTAGGTTTTTTATGGATATTCTTTACGAATTTTCCTATATGTTTTTTATCATGAAGGGGTATTAAATTTTGTCACATGACTTTTCTATAACTATTTGGATGATCATATGATTTTTCTCCTAAACTACTGCTAAATGCCTGGAATACTTTTCTTAGTATATTAAAGTTCTTTTTATATACAGTGCCAGATTTTATTTGTTAATACATTGATATTTCTGCATCAGCGTTCATAAGAGAGATTAGTCTATGATTTTCCTTCCTTGTAATATTCATGTATTCATGTCAGTTTGGGGCATCATGGTTGCCCTTGTTCTTTTTTTTTTTTTTTTTTTTTGCAGCCTACCAGTACATGGATCCAAATCCATGAGCTTGGTGTTATAAGGCTATACTCTAACCAACTGAGCTAAGCAGGCAGCCCTTGGTTCTTTAAAAAAGTTAGGAAGTCTTCTGTTTTCTATTCTCTGGAAAACTTTGTATAAACCTGATGTTATTTCTTCCTTAATTGGAAATATTCACTTATAAAAGTGCAGGTGTTGAGATTTTTTTTTATGGAAATATTTTTAATAATGGATTCCATTTTTTAAATAGTTTTGGGGCTATTTAATATTCTGTTTCTTTCAGCATTGATAATTTGTATTTTTCAAGAAGTGTGTCCATTTTATACTGTCACATTTATTGACATAAATTTTATCATGTTCCCTTTTTGATGTCTAAAATTCTATAGTAATTTGTGTTTTCTCTTTTTCCTTAATCAGTATTGCTAGGGGTTTATTAATTTTATTAATCTTCTCCAAGAACCAACTTTTGGCTTTATTTTTCTCTATTATGTGCTTGTTTTCTCTTTCATTCATTTGCTATCCTGTATAGTTTCTTGAGATAGAAGCTTGAACCATTGATTTCTTTTCAGACTTTCTTCCTTGCTAATAAGGCAGTCTTAGCTTTTGCAAGGTACTGGTTAACTGAAACTCATGCATATAGGAACTATGTCTTTGCTTTGCACATGCAAAGGAAGGACTGTTGTCATATATCCAATTAAGGCTGTAGTTGCATCCCACAAGGTTTGATATGTTATATCTTCATTAGTATTCAGTTCAACATATGTTCAAATTTCTGTTTGATTTCTTCTTTGACCCATAGGTTATTTAGAAATGTAATTTTAAATTTCCAGGCAGTTGGTGTTTTTCTAGGTTTTTATTTATTATTATTGCTGTTGTTAATGATTTCTAGTGGTTAGAAAACATACTCTAAATGGTATCATCTTTATTTTTAGTGTATTGAGGTTTATGGCCCAGTTTGTGATCAGTTTTGATAAGTGTTCTATGCACCCTTGAAAAGAATGTGAATTTTGTTGTTGACACAATGTTCTGTATTGGTCATTTAAGTCAAGTTGTTTAATCACACTGTTCAGATCTTACTGAGTTTTTATTGCTTTTTCTATCAGCTGCTGAGAGAGGTTTGTTAAGGTCTCTATGATTATGCCTTTTTTTGCCTTTTAATTCTGCAAATTTTTGCTTCATATATTTTGATGTTATTGGGTACATACAGGTTCATGATTGTGATATCTTCCTGTTGGATTGGTCCCTTCATCATTATGTAATGTTCCGTTTTTCTATAATAATGATTCTTGCCTGAAATTCTAAATCTTTCAGATTCTAAACCTGAAATTAGAGAGTCCATCAGTTTTCTTTGGGTTAGTGTTGCATGGTATGTATATTTTTCCCATACTCTACTTTTAATCTTTCTGTGTACATATTTAAAGTGTGTCTCTTTTAAGTACTATGTTTCTTTATTTGTTTAATACGATCTGATAAACTTAGCCTTTTACTTGAAGTATTTGTTCATACACTGTAATGTAATTACTGGTATAGTTGGATTTATATGTATAATCTTACTGTTGTTTGCTATTTGGTCCATCTGGTTTTTTTTTTTTTTGCTTTTTATTCTTTCTTGCCTGCTTTTAGATTAGTTCAATATTACATTTTTCTCTTCTAACTTGTTTTATATACACATATGTGTATGTATATGAAATATATGTAAAATTTTGTTTTAATGGTTATCTTAAAAATTACAATGTTCCTTCTTATTATAATAGAATATAAATCATTACTGTTACCACCATCACGTAACTGATTAAGTCTTAGTTCATTTAAACTTTACAAGGCATTTCAGTTATTTTTTAAACAATTACTGTTAACTTATTTCCTTATATATTTACCCTTTTGATATTGTTTATTCCTTCCTGTGTTCTCATGTTTATGATGTAGGATAATTTCCTTCTGCCTGAATAACTCCCTTTAATTTTCTTATAGTACACACTTACTGGTTAGAAATTTCTTCAGTTTTTTTGTTTGTTTGCAAACATTTTTATTTTTCCATAATTTTTGAAGGATATTTTTGCTGAATATAGTATTCTAGATTGGCAGTTATTTTCTTTTTGGCCTTTTAACAATGCCATTCTGTTATATTCTGGCTTCTATTGTTTCTGTTGAGAAATCTGTCAGTCTCATTTTTTTTTGAAGGCCAACTTTTCCCCCCACCCCATGGCTGCTTTTATGATTTGTATGATTTTTCCCTCCCTCCCTCTCTTCCTTCTGTAGTTTGTTTATGATGTCCTAGGTATAGTTTTCTTTTAATACATCCTGCTTGGAGTTGGCAGAGCATCTTGAATCTCTGGATTGATTTCTTTTGTCAGTTTTGGAAAGCTCTCAGTTATTCTTTCTTTGAATGTTGCTTTTATCTCTTTCTCCTCTTGTCTGGGACTTCTGTTATATGTATATTAGATATTTTGAGCATATCCTGCATTTCTCTTAAACTTCTCCTCCTTTCCTTTCTCCTATCTTCTACTCTTTTTTCTCTGTATGCTTCAGTTTGGGATTTTTTTTTAATGACTTGTCTTCTAGTTCACTAATCCAGTTTGCTATAAGACCAATATATTGAGTTCTTAATTTCATGTGTTGTTTTTTTTGGTTCTAGAATGCCCATTTAATTATTTTTATATATCCTAATTCATTAGTGAAATACTCTGTCTTTTTTCAGTTTTGTTCATTTTCCCCTCTGTTTTCTTTAATATGTTAGAAATATTATAAATAATTGTCTTTAAGTAATTGTTCTTGTGTAAACTCCATTATTTGGATCATTTGTATATTATTAGATTCTCTTGTATAGTTTTCTCTTAGTTATTAGTCATATTTTGGGGTCCATTTGCATATTTAGTAATTTTTTGTTGTGTGGCAGACTTTGTATATATATAAAAGAACCACAGAGACTTTAGACAGTGTTATGTTTTCAATAGGGTTCTCATTTTTCTGTTGTGGAAATGGATAAGTGGCTAATTACCTCCAACCAGTCAGGGATTTAGCTGTTTTAGGGTTGTGTTAAAGTTTAATAAAACTCCGTTTTCCTGTCATATGCCATGTGTTTTTGTTTGTTTTTTGTTTTTTTAAATTGAGAGCCTAGTGAATGTCTCTTTCCTTAGCCCTGCTTTTAGATTAGTTAAATATTACATTTTTTTCCTGTAACTTGTTTTATATACACACACACATATGCACACATATATATAAAATTTTGAGTTTACTCTCATAGCTCTCAGTCTGCCCATCTACAGGCTTCAAAATTTGGCAATTGTCTTGGTGGTTCAGAATTCCCAAGTACAAAAAGATGGTCTGAGTCTCATTCCTACACTGTTTCCTTGACATCAAGTGTCCCCTCCCAAAGCATTACCAGTCTCTTGTGTATCTTTCCAGAGATATTCTGTTAGTCCTTTTCAAGTTTTTTTCCCACTGCAAAACCTTCATATAAAATAACAATCTTGGGCCAGCCCGGTGGCGCACTGCTACAGTGCGCCACTTGGGAAGTGCGGCGGCGCTCCCGCCGAGGGTTCGGATCCCACATACAGACCGGCCGCTCACTGGCTGAGCAAGGAGCGGGGGCAACACCGAGGGTTGCGATCCCGTAGCCGGTCCCGGTCTGGTACGGGCGTGACACTGAGGGTTGCGATCTGTTGCCAGTCACGAAAAAAGACAAAAAAAAAAATAATAAAATAAAATAAAATAACAATCTTATGTGAAAGGCCAGTATGTAAGAGTCAGCTGCTATGGCTGGAGTAGGGGGTCCTGACACATCCTCAGGATGCATTGCAATGCTAAAGTAATTTAAGTCCAAGAGAATTTATTGCAGTAATCTTTGTGTTTAAAAAGTACATTTTGTTAATGAACATATTTTGAAATGTTAATTTCTTTTAGTGGTTTAGATTTTAAAATTGTGATGTAGTTTTGAATCAAAGAGGTAGAGCATAATGTGGTTAGCAAATACATGAAAATAGTTACTACTTTCTAAGAAAAATGTCTATTTTCAGCAAATTGGAAATGATTATCTCTGGCCAAAGAACCTTTGAAATGTTTTTGTACCAAAAATTCAAGTAATAGCATTTTCTGTGTTCTTTTTTAAAAAATGACAAATTTTTCAGTTATGTAAAACTCATCCAAAGTGATTTTGCCTTTGATACTTATTCTTTAAGCTTGATTTTGAACTGCATACTAAAATTTTAATGAGGATTTTTAAAAAAAATGATCGTGTCTGTGTGTGTGAAAGAGAAAGAGAGAAATCAGTGTAACATGTTTCAAAAGTTAGAGTCTTGGGGTTTTTGTCTGAAAGGACTTAATTTTATAGATTATTCAAGTGAGGCTTCAGATAATTTAAGTAACCTACTTAAGGTTTTACAGATAATTAGTAGCAAATTTGAAATTAAAATTCTGATTTTCTGTCTCCAAAATAATGTCTTTTATTTGGTTTGATAAAGATACACAAGTATGTACTTATTACAGAAATGTTTTGGATCCATAATTATTTTTAAAAATTAGATAAGCTATGTTATAAATGTCTTATCAAAACAGTTCTTTCCTCTTTGTATCATATTCTTTAGAGTATTACCTCAATATTTCAGCTTTTCATTTTTATTTTTTATAGTTGGAAAACATTTAACTCTCAACAGATGAATTCCATACTTGAACTCTGCTGCATTCCCGTGCCACCTCCTCCCTTAGAAAACTGATCTTAAAACAGGTAAAATCAAGAATTTAACATTTTAAAGAATAAAGAATAAATTTCCTGTATAGCTAGATATGTTAGTGGTTTTGGTGTTCTTTGGTGGATAGCTTCTATTTATTAAGGAATTTTGTCTGAAATAATCGCATCTTAATTATTGCCTTTGAGTTCTATTTTTGAAAGTGTTTACCGTTTAATAGTTGTGTTTTTAAAAACTTTCTCATACCTAAACTTTACATTTATTGCATTATTGAGTTTACTCGGCATAATTGCATTATCTGGCCACATTTAGATCAGTGCTGTCCAATAAGCCTTCTGAGATAATGGTTATGTTCTATATCTGTGCTGTCCAACGTGGGAGAAGCTGCTGGACACTTGAAATGTGGCTAGAGCAACTAAGGAATTTAATCTTTAAATTTTATTTTATTTTAATTAGTTTCAATTTAAATAGCCACATATGGCTAGTAGCTACTGTCTTAGGCAGTGCAGCTTTAGGTTTTTCCTTAGAGAATTTGGTATTTTAATAATAACAGCATGTCTGAAATCCCTAAATTTCAGATTTATACCTTGCAATGTCTTCAAAGTTGTTGACCGAGTTTGAAAATTTGCAGTTGCAAAACCCTTACTGGGTATCTCATATATTGCCCTGATAATTGTTTAGCTTTGTTTATCCAGTAATTTTGATCCACTAGAAACCCTTGAGAGTACTTATCATATTTTTGTTCAGTATTGTATCCTTAGCATCTTACTAAGTACCTACCATGTAATTGATGTTCAATAAATATTAGTTGAAAAAAATGGATGAATAATCTTTGTACTTTACATCCAGAGTAAGAATACCTCCTAAATTGTCCAAAAAATTAAATAATTCAGGGCTGGCCAGTTAGCTCAGTTGTGCTGGTAACACCAAGATCCAGGGTTCAATCCCTGTACTGGGCAACCACCCCCCACCCCGCCCCCCCAAAAAAAACCCCACAAAAAATTAATTTTTTTTTTCCTTTTTGTCTTTTTTACTGACCGGTAACGGGATCGCAACCCTCGGTGTTGCGCCCGTACCGGGGACCGGCAACGGGATCACAACCCTCGGTGTTGCACCCGCACTGCGCTCAGCCAGTGAGCGGGAACCGGTCTCCACATGGGATCCGAACCCTCGGCGGGAGCGCCGCCATGCTTCCAAGCAGCGCACTCTCCAGTGCGCCACCGGGCCGGCCCAGAAATTAAATAATTTTATGGATATTATTCTTATAATAAAAGTAGTCTCCAGCATCCCTTGAGGACTTACATTGTGCCAGTCACTGTTCTAAGACCTTATATGTGTTAATTTATTAAATCTTCTAAAATAAACCTTTGTCATATGTACTTATACGATCCCCATTTTTTTTATTCTAAGACCTTATATGTGTTAATTTATTAAATCTTCTAAAATAAACCTTTGTCATATGTACCTATACGATCCCCATTTTTTTTTTTAAAAAAAAAGATGTCCGGTAAGGGGATCTTAACCCTTGACTTGGTGTTGTCAGCACCACACTCAGCCAGTGAGCGAACCGGCCATCCCTATATGGGATCCGAACCCGGGGCCTTGGTGTAATCAGCACCACACTCTCCCGAGTGAGCCACGGGCCGGCCCTATGATCCCCATTTTATAGATGAGGAATTAGAGGCCACAGCTTAGTTAAGTAACTTTCCCAAGGACACATACCTTATAGTCATGGAGCTGGAATTCAGAGTTAGACAGGCTAGCCCATACACTTTAACCGTTGAGCAGTACTGCCTCATATATTCCGATTCTGTGTAAATGGACAATTCCTGAAAAAGATGTATGCTGACTGTCAGCTAAGGCACAACTTCTAACCATGTAGGTAATGGAGAACTTATTGTACTTCGACAAATACTGTGAGTTTGCTTTCTGGTGAGTAGTTCTTGACCTTCTTCAGGTCATGTTCCAGCAGTTTATTATTTTGTTAACTATGTTATAGTTATGGCTTGCTAATAAAAGTTGCATTACTGTAGTCATCGAAAAGATAATTTTCTGTTGTATCCTCTTTGCTTTGTTATATAGTCTAGAATTGAGGCAGTATAGGTCTGAATTGAGCTGTGCTGGAATATCAGCTTGAGTTATTGCTTTGAAATATAGTTTTTCTGGTTTTTGTTTTGTTTTTTGGTGGGGGGCAGCTGGCTGGTATGGGGTTCTGAACCCTTGACCTTGGTGTTATAACACCATGCACTAACCAGCCGAGCTAACTGGCCAGCTTGAGATACGGTTTTTATATACCAGGCACTAAAATACAGTGGAAGAAGTGATCTCCAGAATTCAATATTGTCTGGTTAGATAGAAAGCTTGTAATATATTTATAGCTATGTTCTATAACTCCCTCTAGATAACTAAAAGATACTGAGTCTAGTCAGGAAATATATGTTTACAAAATTTCTTTGTAACCAGTACTAAGTGTACAAATGAAGACACTAAGATATATTTTTAGGATTTTAGAATTAGAATGTAATTTATCGTTGTAGGAAACTGAAACCCAAAGGGTTTAAGTGATTTGCCCAAGGACATATAAGCAGTGTGGTTTATTGATTCAACAGATATACATTTGCCTGTCTTATGTCCAGACACCTAGAATCCTTGGTAGTTTTGAATGCATAGTGGTGAGCAATACAGAAATGGACCTTGTTCTCATGGAACTTCTATAAGGACTATTCCTATAAGGGAGACAGACAATTGATAAGTAAAGAGTTCTAATAAACAAGTGATAAAATCCAAAGTTTTAGGAAGGAAGTAAACCTTGTATTAGGATGGAAGATACTGGAGAATGGAGAAAGGACTGCTGTTGAGATAAAGAGGTCAGGAAAGGGCTGCTGAGACTTACAGGATCAGAAGGAGCCAGCTATTTAAATAGCAGAAGCAAAACAGCATTCTAGGCTGAAACAGAGTGCACAGATGTCCTGGGATTAAGGTGTATATGAAGCCATAGAGAAACAGAAAGGAGGGTACGGCCAGAACAGAGAAAGCTGTAGAAAGAGTAGTATGAGCCATAAGATAGGGGCCAGATTACATAGTGCCTTTTTCATCCATAGGTTTTAAATTCAAATCTGAGTTCTGCCACTTAAAATCTATTACTCTGAATAGGTCACTCAACCTCTTTACGCTTTAATTTTATTATCTATTAGATGAGAATAACAGAAGCTACTTCATAGTATATAATATAATGAAGTTTGATTATTTACAGAAAACACTTAAGTAATGTTTACGTTGTGATAAAAACTCTTCTCCGTATATAAAAACTACATGAAGTAGGTACTGTTATTATCTCCAGTTTTGAAATGAGAGAAGTGAGGCACAGGGTTTGAATATAACTAGTAAGGGAGTGAGAGGGTTTGAATATAACTGGTGAGGGAGTGAGAGGGTTTAAACATAGGTTAACCTTAGGCAATCTGGCTTCAGAATCCATGATCAAAGTGTGATCCAGAGATCCTTTAAGGGGATCTGTGGGTCCAAACTATCTTTCATGTTAATATTAAGACAGAATTTGCCTTTTTCACTGTCATTCTCTCATGAATATACAGTGAAGTTTTTCAGCAACAGATTGAATACAGAACAATTATAAGATATGTGAAAAAAAAACAACTGTAAAACAATGGTATTCTTACTAAATTTGTTTTTATTTAGGAAGAGTATCATTTGCATTTAAAAATGTTATTTATGTTAACATGTAATGGGCTTATTTTTGAATGAATTAATAAACATTTTTAATGAAAGGGTTCTGAGACAAAAAAAAGAGTTGAGAACTACTCTTAACCATTAGATTCTACTGCCTCTCATTAAATCAGATAAAATGTAGAAAACATCTGGGACAGTGTACTTGATAGGTTTTGTTAGGACCAAAAATAAAGATGTCACTGCTAATTTATTTAGGGCCTTGTTCATGAGCACAAGTCATTAAATCAACAGATGTTTAAGAGCCTGCTGTGTGCTCAGCACTTGGGATACAATACCTGAAAAGACAGATAATAAACAAATAAGCAAGATACTCACAGATTGTGTTAAATGATATAAAGGAAATAGGCAGAGTGATGGAGGGGTTGGAGGGATCAGGAAGTAAGGAGAACGAATTCAAGTACAGCAGACAGGAAAGGCTTCTATGAAGAGGTGACATTTGAACTGAGTCTAATTTAGCTATATACAGAGAGCTGGGAGGGCATGCCAAGTGGCAGGTACAAAGACCAAAGGTGGCCAGAAACACAAAAGCTAATTTTTAAGAAGTGGTATGTGATTATATGCACAAGCTTATACTCTTGTCCTTTAGTTAAACATTTTTTCTTTTTAATAGAGGATTGTTTCATATTTTCTCCTTTAAGTAGTTAATAAAGTACTGTTTTAAAATTAGTAGTATAGAATTGAGGAAATATGATATTATGATTATAATTAACAGCACTATATTTCTCTATTTGAAGATATTTTTAACTTTTAGTCATTTTTACAATGGTATTGGTAGAAATTGTAGACATTTGATGGCCAAATTCGTGGTTATAGGAGAGATCAAATAGCAAATTAAATTAATAAATTTAGCCTGGATGTGATACTTTTTTTTTTTTTTTAACTGGAGGATAGTCATCAAAATTACTCAGGGACCTTTTTCAAAATATATATTCTGGGCCCTATTTCAGATAGGGATTCTGATACAGTGTGTATCAGATTTAAAAGATATGTTTTTCTTTTTTAAAATAATGTCTGGGTTCCTTTTAGATTTTAAAAGCAGTTTATGTTCTTTGTAGAAAAAATTTTTTTAAATTATTGATAATTCTAGTTGACACACTTAGAAAATATTGTCTTTTTAATTGAGGAACATTCACTTAAGTTTTGACGATAGTTCCTCCATCCTGCTAAGTTCTTTATTTTTTCTTGTTCTTACCTTTTGAGCCTTAACATAGGGAGAAAAAATAAAACCCATACTTTAATTGTCTTTTTCACTTCAAAAATAATACATGCTTTTTTCTTTAATAATTCAAAATTTTATAATTAGAATATCCTCCATAATCCTTTCCTCAAAGGTAAATGCTTAATGATTTAGTATATATTTGCTTCCAGGCTTTTTTCACATTTTATATCATTTTTAAGTGGAATTATAGTTTACATGCTATTGTACAGCTCACTTTTTCTACTCGGACATTTTTCCAATTTAGAAAGTTTATGAATCTAGCTTCTTCAAAGGCCTTATTTTGTATACAGCTGTATTAGTCCATTTTTTTGTTGCTTATAACAAAATACCTGAACCTGGATAATGTTTAAAGAAAAGAGGTTTATTTTTACAGGTTTGGAGGGTGGGAAGTTCAAGGTCCAGGAGGGACATCAGGTGAGGGTCTTTTTTGTTTTTTGGGTTTTTTTTTTGATCGGTAAGGGGATCGCAACCCTCGGCACCATGCTCAGCCAGTGAGCGCACCGGCCATCCCTATATGGGATCCGAACCCGCGGCCTCGGCGCTACCAGCATCGCACCCTCCCGAGTGAGCCACAGGGCCGGCCCAGGTGAGGGTCTTCTTGATAGAAAATCTCTGTCCTGACATAGGGTGTCACATGACAAGGAGGAGAAAAACATTTTCACATACTCACTTGCTGTCCTTATAAAGCCACCAGTCCACACTAATGATAACCCATTAAACCGTTAACGCATTACTCCATGATTAGTCCATTTCATGAGAGTATAGTTCTCACGATCTAATCACCTTTTAAAGGCTCCACCTTTCAACACTGCTACATTGCAGATCAAGCTCCCACATGAGCTTTGAAGAGGGCAGACATTCAGGCCATAGCAAGTGCATATATGTTTATGGTCAGTTTGCTGAATATATGACTCTTGCTTTCTAGCTTATCTAGCTTTATCATTAATAATGTCACATTATTTTTCTATGATGTATAACTTATTCTGGTTGTATATTTGGTAAGAGCTCCAGGCATAGACTGTGCAGTGTTGTGGATAATGTGCAGTTTGATTTGGCTCAGGACACTTGTGTTTGCTACTTTGAAGGTATGGTTGCTGGGGAAAATAGGAAAGCATTAGGATAACAGGTTTCAAATGTATTATTAAAAAAGAAATTATTTCTGAAAAACTTTATTTTAATTGTGCTACAAACTAAAAGCAAGTCTCCTTATCTAAAATATATACTAGGTGAGTTTTTCCTTTAGTAAAAGGCAAACATCATTTACCTTTGGTAGTTTCTGTAAGTAACACTATTCTCAGGTTCAGTGGTTTATTTATTTATTTTTTCTTTTAAAGATAAAAGAGGAATAGAAGGTAAAAGAAAAAAGATGCTGGGATCTGAACGTGGTGTTGTGGAAGAATGGTTATCAGAATTCAAGGTAAACTGGATTGGGGATAAGAATGTATTATATGATTCTATATGTCAGCAATTCAAAGAGCAAATATAGGTTCTATGGAGAAACCTTTACAAACATAATATGAGATAAAAATGGCAAAACACAAAATAACATGTTTCTATGATTTCAGTTTTTAAAAAGGGCCCTAATGTGAATAAAGGCTGGAAGGTACTCTGTAAAAATGAAAATAGTTGTTAGAATTGATGAGGGGATATTTAAATTTTAAAATATATTCAGTGAAAGAGAAAAGCCTCCGAGCTTTAATAAGGCACAAAAATAGGATTTGTGTCATGTGTTTTGTAATTAAAAATCAAATAGTTTTGACTGAAAACTATATAATCTGTGAATACTATGGAAATTTTGTTAAAACATAAGTGCAAGAATTGATATATATCTTACTATTTTTTTAGATTAGTTTAAGGTGGTCCATTTTAGCAAATCTTGGTATAATTTGTGATTTTTAATATTTTTTATGGTTGAGTAGTTAGTAGAATTGTATAATATAACATCCCCACTTAATTTGTGTTATTTACTCTCCTGGTTATTTCTTCTATTAATTATTTTTACTTTTCTTACTTGACTATGATAAATCTTTTTAAGATACACTAATGCGTAATACAGTTTCTGACTTTCCAGATATCAAGTTCACTTCTCTTCTCCTTTGGTGCTTTCTTTTAGGCATTACCTGACACTCAGATCACCAGTTATGCAGCAACGTTACACCGGAAAAAAACACTAGTGCCAGCCCTCTATAAAGTTATCCAAGATTTGAATAATGAGGTAGGAGAGTTCATAAGAAAAATAATTTTCACATAGTAAAATGAAATATGTGTACTAAAACATAAATATAAGGGTTGTAGGTTTCTCTCCTTATTTGTGGATCTGGAAAATTATCTTCTTCTGTTTTTCATTCTGATAGTTGCTTTGGCTTTCCCCATTCCTTCCCTTTTCATATTTTAAAATGTTTTGGTCAAATTTTTTCCTGTTGAGGGCAGTATGTTTTGATTCTTGATTTGAGTGACCATAATCTCAATGGATTATTTATTCAATTTGAAACTTTTCTGTTTTCTGTTCTGGAACGTTTCCTGCTCTGGAAGTCAAATTTTAACTGTATATTGAACCACCTTTATTTATTTTTGTTATTGTTTACAGTTATTTTATTGATAATGTAGAGCTCTAGGTATAATCACTCTAATCAGTGAAATCAAACTTATAACACAAAATAATGCTGCTAGTAAATCTATCCTGAAAATGATCAGAAGAAGCACATTTTAGTTTAGTCAATCAAGATCAGTAAACTTTTTAAGAGTTTCTTATTATTCAGCCTTGTAATAGAAGGGAAAAAACGCAGTTATTAAATCTAAATGTTAACTTGAGCAAAATACACACATTTTCTTTCTATTAACACGATAGTATGACATACAATTTTAGTACCACTGGATTCATATTGTGCTTTTAAATGAAAATGAAAGGAACACACAGGAAAGTAGCTTCTTATCTTCCTAGATACAGCCTCCAAGAGTGCCTCTGCTGTGTTCTGGAGTGAGTTTGAAGAAGTTCAGGTAATCATCTCCTAAACAGCAGCTTAACTTTAAGTGCATCTTCATTTTCGTCCTACCACTAAAAGCTTGCTTATTGACCTCTTTCTTTCCTATCTTCTAAATTTGGATTGGCTGTCAGTTAGACTTGCATCTGTTGCTCAATTGCAGGATTCATTTGCTTCTTTTTCTCTTGCGGTGTATTTCTTAATGTTTTATAACTTTAGGTATGGGTAATGTACATATATGCATATCCGTCTTGGTTAGGAGTTTTCAGAATTCTCTATTTAAATAACGAATGTATGTATTCCCTATTTCTTGTTTTGCGCTGACTTAACATTTAAGCTTTGCTTATTAAAATTTGTTTTATGCTTTCTCTTTAGATTGTAAGCTCTTCATGGGCAGTGGTCATGTATTTGTAACTTCCCTAGAATCTAGTATTTTATTATGTACATAATGAACATGTAATAAATATTGATGAGATGAGATTCTAAAATACTATCATTTTCATTAAGACTCACAAGTATATAAAAAGTATCTTTTAAAAAAACTTTGGAAGGTATGATATTAAAAAAGTTTTTCTCATTAGTTCATATTGTCATGCTTTGTAACATCAATGTATGAGACGTTGGGGTCATGACTAGAAGTGGAAAATTACAACTTGAGAGTGCCAAGATCAAGACCCATCATTCATTATAATCAGCCAGTTGCTGGAGCAGGCCTGGGATTCCATCCTTTTCTTGTCAGGTTTTAAGGTTCTAACCATATGTTCAGACTTCACAAAAACAGAATGATAAGTTCTATAGAATCTCAAAACAATTCTGGACTTTAGTCATAGAAGAAAGGCCCTTATAGTTCTGCTTTTGTTGTACTCTGAAACATAATCCAATGTGTTATTTATTTAAGAAATTATTTCATAAATTTGTCATATGTCATATTTAGTATGAATTGGAACTTATGGTGATTTTATAATTTTGCTTTTAAGATCATAAAATTTCTTAAGAACTTCTATTTCCTAGAACTTTAATATTACATGTCATAGCTAACCTGTGTTACAGCTTCAGTTTTAATCTCTAGACCAACATATTGCTTCATTTTTCTCCTTTTCTTTCTTCCAGATTCCTTAGTCACTCTAGCAGTTCTTCCACTTCAAGGAGACCTCCAATCCATTAAGCCTATCACTTTTGCTTGATTTGAATGCCTTTCCTCTTCTCCTCAATGTCTCCCTTCTCTTTTTTCCTAGCTAAATTCTCTCTTATCCTAGCTAAATTTTCATGGTTTATCATTACTGTCATTCACTTGCAAACATTCATGGCTCCTTTTCCTATCATTCCCTTAGTTCACATTCTTTGGGCAAAATCTGAAGACTAGATAAAACCCATCCATCCATTTACTTCATGCATGTACATGAAGCAGCTGAACATGTCTGGAGAAAACACAATGTTGTTGACTTTCTTTGCTTTAAATTCAGTACTGAAAATCTCAAATGTGTTGCATAATATGTAGCCTTGCAGTCTTACTTCACCTCCTTGGTATACCCCACTGTTCATGTTACACCTTCTCTTCATACTCTTACCCTCACTCCTCTTCATTTTCAGCCTGCTTTCTATGTAATTAAAAAAGAAGAAAACAATTGGAGCTCTTTTATTTTCCCATTCAAATCTACCACTCTACCAGCAAGCCACATTCTCTTGCCTTTTCTGCTATTCAGTGGGTGAACTGTTTCAGGTTGTATCAAAGACCTCTTCTACTTAGGCCTGAATCTTATCTTCTATAGCCACCCTCAAGGATTCTGCTCCTGCAATTATGCCCTTTGCTCCATCACGGATTTTTTTTTTCTTTCCATATTCCACTTTTTAGAAACCTTCTTTGACCTTGCCTCTTATTTTTTCTACCCCATTTCTCTGTCCCTATTCACAGTGAACTTCATAAAGTCTTGCTTATTTATAGCCTCTGTCTACTTGTCTCAATTTCTTCACCTCACATTCTTTCTTCAGCCCATTCAAGTTAGGCTTCAGTCTGCATTATTTCACCCAAAATTCTTTCAGTGTGTTCATCTGATAGCACGTCTCTTAGTAATTATCATGTCAAAACAGTGTTTCCTAAATTTGGGAAAGGTGTCAGTCATTCTTAAGCTTTTTTTAACCTGAGGATAATGATTTTTAATTCTTTTGATGTGGGGGATAGTGCCATTTAGGGTAGGTCAGAGTCATTTATTATACTGAGAGTTTGAGAACGTGGTGGCATGATACATTTGCTTAGAATAAAAGGTTTTAAAAGATAGCATTGGCAATTTTTTAACAGTCTGATTTTGGAGTGGTATCTGATTAAAAGTTGCTTGTGGGGGATAGTGCCATTTAGGGTAGGTCAGAGTCATTTATTATACTGAGAGTTTGAGAACATGGTGGCATGATACATTTGCTTAGAATAAAAGGTTTTAACAGATAGCATTGGCAATTTTTTAACAGTCTGATTTTGGAGTGGTATCTGATTAAAAGTTGCCGGATGGCCAGCATCTACCCACCTTCTTAAAAAAAAAAAGTGATAATTTTGGTAACTTTGTATTTATACACTGTTTTAGTCCGTTTTGTGTTGCTATAACAGAATACCTGAGACTGGGTAACTTATAAGGAAAAGAGGTTTATTTGGCTTACGATTCCAGGACAGTTGCATGTGGCGTGGGCCTCAGGTTGCTTCTACTCATGGCGGAACATGGGGGTGGCTACAAGCAGATCACATGGCGAGATGAAGCAAGAGAGAGAGAGAGAGAGGAGGTGCCAGGGCCCTATAAACAACAAGCTCTCGCAGGAACTAATAGAGCAAGAACTCACTCATTACTCCCCCATCCCCCAGGGAGAACATTAATCCTTTCATGAGGGATCCGCCCCCGTGACTCAATCAGTTTCCAACACTGCCCCATTGGGGATCAAATTTCCACATGAGTTTTGCAGGGTACAACACATCCAAACTCCATCATACACTGTGCATAATTAAAATATAGTGTCCTACATGCTGGGGTACCTCTTGCTACTGAAGAAGGAGAGCGAGTAAGGGTCTTTAAAACAGAAACTCATTGTAGTTGCACCATGGCCCATAAAATTTAGAGAAGGCAATCTTTGGAGAATATTTTGCTAAAGGGGAGAATGAATTTGAAACATAAGTATATATTTTTAATAAATTTATGAGAGCAACAATCTTTAATTCCCCAAAAGACCTGAATCTTGCTGTCAGTATTTAAGAAAGATGCCAGCAATTTACTATTTCAGAAATTTATTACTTGTTCATTATTGGTACTACATGGAATATACTATTTGTAATTAAACAACCCTCATCTCTCTTCTACTATAAGAAATGTGGTGGAGAAGAAATATCAACTTGATGTCAGAAGACCTGAATTTAGTGTTGTCCTCCACCACTAACATATTGTCTGACTGGTCTAGACTTCATTGTAAGGGGAGAGTTGCAATATTTTTACCTGTGCTCTTACAGTGATTTCACATAAAGAGCTTAGAATTTACTAGGTTAGGTTATGTGTTTGTGTAAATTTTTTAAGCTTTGGAGTTGTCTTCAAGAGCTAAGCTTTACTTATCTAAATATATTAACTATACATCAACAAAGATTTGACTTTTAATTTTACAATTGTAAAAGCAGTGACTTCATTCTAGTGTGTTAGATGATAATAGATGTATATAGAATAGTGACTGTTCTAGAGTGTTAGATTATTACAGACATACATAACTACATTCAGATTTCTAAATGTACGTGCATTATTTTATTCATTCAGAATAGAGGTATGCATATGATATTACTGAAATCATTTTTTTAAAGAGCTAATGTTAAATTTTAATTTAAAATTTATTTTATGGTTTCTTGTCAATGTTTTATACGCACTTTAAACTCATAGCCAGTTTTGTGCAGTGTGCAATTTTCCAGCAAAAACACATTTAGGGAAAAGTGGAGAAGTTTATTTTAACTGCTCATTTTCTTCAGTTTTCAAGGTCATGAAGTTCCTCATAAGTCATGTTATGTGATATCATATGAAAAATTAGCCAATTAAACATTGAAAAAGCTATTTCTATATACTTTCTTCTTTTTCATAATCTTTCAAATAAGTATAATTCATGGAATTTGAGTCAGTTTTAAGACATAAAAGTACTTTGTTTGTTTCACTTATATGTATTTAAAATATTAGCTAGAACTTTAGGTGCCCAAATATTATGTATTACAAAATCCTTCACTCTATAATTTGTTTAAAATCATAATTTGTCTAAATCATAGTCTCAGTTGAGATTTAAAGTTTATTTCCAACAAGACTATTTGAAATCATTGTATTTTATTCCAATGGAAACTTTTAAAAATGGAGGGTGGTAAGAGCTGGTAAGAACAGAAAGGAAAATTCACCAAATACAAATATAGTAACTTGGCTAAAAGACTAATTAATTATCTACTAAATTTAGCAGTGCAGTATATTGAGAGGTATGTTGATATTATATGGGCACAAAGCACTTCTGATAGTAGATTCATCAGTTTAATATGTGATCTCTCTTTGCATGCATGAATAGAGATTAAAAATTTTGGTTGCATTAATTTAAAATATGGAGAAATTAATATTGAGATTTTTTTTTTTGGCATCTGGCCAGTGCAGGAATCGAACCCTGGACCTTGGTGTTATCAACACCACACTCTAACCAACTGAGCTAACCAGCTAGCCCTAAGAATTTATTTTAAAAATATTACTCAGTTATATATGCCTTTTAAAAAAATACAGGTATAGCCAAAGGAATGGAAATGACTAATGCACTTTATTTTCCTTTTAGCTTCTGGAGCCTGTCTGCCACCAGCTGTTTGAGCTCTATCGTAGCTCTGAAGTTCGACTTAAGAGGTTCACACTGCAGTTCTTGCCAGAGTTGATGTGGGTTTATTTACGGCTTACAGTTAGTCGGGACAGACAGAGTAATGGTTGCATTGAAGCACTTCTGTTAGGAATTTACAATTTGGTAAGTTGAAAATGATAGTTTGGGAAACTTTAAGTATTATTTAAAGTCTTCTGAAATAATACTTAAGGAATGTTTAGAGAAAAATAAATTGAAATGTCTACTGAATAATTTGAGCTAATTAAGTTGAGTACTGAGGTAAGTATTGATGTGTTTTTTATAAAGTAGGTAAAACTTTGATAACATAAAACTTTGATAGCAATAAAAAATTGATAGCATTATTAATATTTTGTGACTTATTTCTTCAAATTATTTTATTTGACCGATATCTATGGATCCTTTCTGTGTAAGGCTTTGAGTTGGACACCGAAAATACAAAGAATTAGATGTGGAACCTACTTTTAAGGAACTTCTGCTCTGTTAGAGAAGACATGTTTACAGATGACTAAATAAAATTTCAGACAAACTCAGATGCTGTCTGAGTTACCATGGCAAGCTTTATTAAGAAAATGACATCTAAGCTGTCCCTTATGAAGAGGTATAGTTTTGATAGGTTGAGATTAGGAGTAGGAGAGATTTCAGGAAGAAATAATCAAATGAGCATAAGCAAAGAGGCAGGAATGTCAGTCTTGTTCTGGAAATAGAAAATAATTTTGTTTGAAGCACAGAATACTCACATATATACAAACTGGAAAAGACTAGTGTCAGTTTTAGAGAGTTTTTAAAGTGAAGATTTTAGGGCTGGCCCGTGGCTCACTCGGGTGAGTGCGGTGCTGATAAAGTGAAGATTTTAGGTTTTCTTTAATAGCCATTTGGAAAGCAATTAGAAGGTTTTGAACAGAAGAATTACATTATGTAGTGGGAAGATAAATCTGGTGGTGGTATGCAAAGAGACCGTGGTATTGTAAGTTTGATTTAGTCACCATTCCTTATATTTTGAAAGCTACATATATAATTGAGAAGAGTAGGGGAAGTGGACGTGGGATTTCTGTTTCTCTCAGGGGAAGATATCTGTTAAGGGGAAAATGTCCAAATACACTGTTATGGCATATTAGGATTTTTAAAATCTGAGTAAGAACACAGTAGAAACTAAAGGGAGAAAAGAAACCACTAATGCTTCTGAGATGACAGAGATGAAGATGGAGACTTGATTAATTTTGCAAGATGGAGAGAGCGTACTCTAGAAAGGAAAGAACTTAAGTGTTATGAGGACTATAGGAAGCAAGATGAAAAGGTGGAGGAGAGTTTGGGAACATAGGAACATTTATATAGGACCCTTCTGAAGATTTGGGCAGCAAGGTCCTTTTTCTTGTGCAAAGCAAGGGAACAAAGTAGCACAGCATCATAGTTCCACCCTCAAGTGCCTCTGTACAGAACCGGATGGTTACTTGAACTCATCAATAAAGAATCATGAATTTTATGAATATATCTTGGAGTCACTGAGGGGGTAGTGATTGTGAAACCACCGGCATAAAACTTCTGCTTTTATTTAGCTTTAGGATTTGGAGCTTGCTTGTATAAATTTCCAATGCAAAGTGTAGTTTGATCATAAAAATGTGATATAGCAATTTGTACATTTATTAATAATTATTTGATAATATATATTTGATGCTACACTGTTCACGAAGCTCTTCATTCTAAGTTTTGTGGATCTTAAACATTATTATTCTGTTTTTTTCCTCATGATGCCTAGTTTAGGACATTGAAATTTCTGCCCTTTGAAGTCTTGTATTCTGTGCATTTAGTATGCATTGTAAACCAATACTTTATATAATAAAGTTTTGTTTTATCATTGAGAGGTAATAAAGTACAGGAAAACTGAGTCTCACAATAAATAACTATTCTTTTCTACCAGTGCTTACTCTAAATATTATCACTTAAAAAATCATTAGAAAACCTTTCCATCACTAGAAGTCTCAAGGAAAGAGCATGGGCTTTAGAATCTCTTGTATTCAGTTCAAAACCATGTTCTGCCACTTACTGGCTATTTTAAATTTGGGCAAGTTACTTAATATTTTGACTTCAGTTGCCTCATCTGTAAAACAGAAAAAATATTGCTAGTAGGATTAAAAATAATTTGCAGAATTCAGCATGTTTCCTAAGATGTTTAATAAGTGTTTATCTTTATTATTATCATAATTAAAAGTGGGGTTTTTAAAAATGAAAAGCTGTTCTAGGAATGAAATTCTGTACTTGGCTAACTTGCCTGATTGTTTTTTCTTTTAAAGCAGGAAATTGTTTTATTTATCACTCTGTTTTCCCACAGTGCTTATCACAAGCACTTAGTATATGTTCGATTTAATAGAGTTTAATGTTCTAGATTTTGCAAAGCAGAATGTTTGACAAGTTATTGGCAGTACTTGTTAGTGCTGTGGTTTAATTATCTTTTGACATCTCAAAAATAGTGTATTATAAAAAATGGACCAGTTATATTTCAGAAATGCAACCTCAGGCTCTGACTTCTTTTAATTCCCTTGATATTTTTGGTTTCTCTTCTCTGTGGTTCTCAGTTTTTCTTACACACTGGGTTTCCTCTGTATACTCATTTCTCATTTTCCTCTTTCCCTCCCTAGCACTTCTTTGCCTTAAACAGCCCCAGGGGGAGTTTTATATTGCCCTCAGCTTAAACAAATTTCAGCCCACTGTTCTCCACAAATACACACAAAGATAAATTTAAAATATTTGGCTTAATCTGAAATTTAGGAATGAAAATTAAGATGTTTTTGTCTAATTTAAATCAGAGTCATTCATCTTAGCATAGACTTTCTTGAAGCACAGTGGCCCAGATGTGGTGGTAACTAGTTTGACTACAAAGAAGTTACATGACTTCTCAAGGGACTCTTTTTTTTTTTCCTTTTTGTCTTTTTTACTGACCGGTAAAAGAACGGATCGCAACCCTCGGTGTTGCGCCCGCACCGCGCTCAACCAGTGAGTGGGAACCGGTCTCCACATGGGATCCGAACCCTTGGCGGCACACTCTCCAGCGCCCGCACCGCGCTCAACCAGTGAGCGGGAACCGGTCTCCACATGGGATCCGAACCCTTGGCTGCACACTCTCCAGTCGAACCCTTGGCGGCACACTCTCCAGCGCGCCACTGGGCCGGCCCCTCAAGGGACTTTTTAAACCTACTTTCCTGCCAAACTTAGAGGTATAGCCATTGTTCACATATAATTGGTACTCTCCTGTGACATAATCAGAGAAGAACCCTATAGGGAAGTTCTTTTGGCTTTTTGTTTGTTTGTTTTTGGTTGTTTTGTTGTATCTTCCTTTTATGGCATGCAGCTACTCAACCTCTGACCTAGGTCTTCTTTTTTTTTTTTTCCTGTCCTTTTTGAGACCGGCTGCACCGCGCTCAGCCAGTGAGCGGACCGGCCATCCGTATATAGGATCCGAACCCGCGACCGGCCATCCCTATATAGGATCCGAACCCGCGACGGGAGCGCTGCTGCACTCCCAGCACCGCACTCTCCCGAGTACGCCACGGGCTCGGCGCTGACCTAGGTCTTCTAAGGGCAATCTTCTGTCTATGGATTTTATGCCACGGATGTATACTAATATGAGTTGTAAGAGAAACAGACAAAAAATAAGGCAGTGGGAAAAGGAATGATACAGCAGCATTTCACTCCTCTGATTACTGCTGTTTGTAGGCAGATATTTGTTGATACCTGAGGACGATTGGCAGTGCCAGAAACTAGAGAAAGAAAGGACACCTTTGTCCTTTTTTGTGAAGAGATAAAATGCTTTTAAAATCACTGTAAGAATTTTCTTACAGCTTAGTATAAATTACCTAAATATGAATTTGTTTTTAATTACCTGGACTAATATTAATTATATTAAAATATGGCTTATTTCAGGCCATTAGTTTATTGCTGAATGATTGTGAGAGTTTCTTTTAGTCAAGATTCATTCTTAAATGTTCTCATTATTAAAAAAAAAAAAAAGGTTAACTATGTGAGGAGTTGGATATGTTAATTGGCTTGATTTTGGTAATCATTTCACAATATATACATATATCAAAACTTCACATTTTGTACCATAAATATATATAATTTTTATTTGTCAATTATACCTCAGTAAAGCTGGAAAAAAGTATTCTATGTTAGAACAATGTGTTTTTCTTGTTTGAGTAAGTGTAGATCTCTTGGCTATGACCTTTAATTGTAATCTGTTTAGCTCAGCCATGTTTCTACTAAAAGGTTTAATCACTTATAATCTCCCTGTCCTGTGTGTAAATTTAACATGAAAATTGATTGTGTGCCTGCTTCTTGTCTTTGCTGTCATGTTGTATTTGATTTGATATGTTATTTCGCTCAATATCTCTCTATAGTTTATAACTGTACTACCAAAGTGTACAAATTTGCTAATAAGTTAGAAAAGATATACTAGGGCTGTGTAATCTTTATATGTTACTTTTTCTAAAAACCTTCCTCAATTGCCAATGATATATTCTTTAAATTAAGAAAGTTATTTCTTACTATATAGACCTGTGATTATTCATCTTTGTATGTTTTTTGACTATAGGAGATTGCTGATAAAGATGGAAACAATAAAGTTCTGTCTTTCACTATCCCTTCCTTATCCAAGCCTTCAATATACCATGAAGTAAGTAACATTGGAAAGGTGGAATTGATTAAAATTATATTGAGTAAGAGATAAAAAGTCAATTTCTTACCAGAGATAAATATTTCTGAAACATCTTTACTTATTTGCTTCTTAGAAGTATATGTTTGAGGGCCGGCCTGTAGCTCACTTGGGAGAGTGTTGTGCTGATAACACCAAGGCAACGGGTTCAGATCCCCCTAGGTAGGGATGGCTGGTTGGCTTACTTGGAAGAGCATGGTGCTGACAACACCAAATCAAGGGTTAAGATCTCCTTACCGGTCATCTTTAAAAAAAAAAAAAAAAAGTAGATGTTTGTTGTTAATGATGTAAGACTGAAGTGTGTCAAGAGAGGCAGAAAGAAATTAATGGAAAATTTTCCTCAAAATTTCCACAAAAACTAGTGTACTTTTTTATTCTTCCCCCAGTATCATTTTTTACTTTTTGTGAGAAATGCCCTCACCCATCCAATGCCAAAGGATGAACACAGAGACACAAGGTACAGCGAAGCGAGACTTTAATTACAGCTTTATAAGGTTCGGGTGTCTGAAGGTCAGGCACATGGAAAAGGGCTGTAGCAAGCAATTTATTTCCTAGTATGCAAGTCCTTCCCCTAGTCTCCTCATTGGCTGAGTACTACAGGGCGCACAATCTTCCCAAAGGATGACTAAAATTTATTACCTCCTTGCAAGGAATTCCTTTGTCTGGGGGCTCAGGAGAAACCCCCAAAAAAGGCCTGCCTAAGCCCTGTGACAGGAGAAACACCAGGGAATGAAGAAAACAATGGGTGCTAGTAACTAATTACCATCTCAAGGAGAGCGTTATCTTTTCAGAGATCCTCTGGAAAAATGAAGAAAACAAAAGGGGCTAGGAACTAATTACCATCTCAATAAAACACCCTCAGATAAGTCATTTCTACAAATGAACCACTTAGATTATTTTCTTACACTTTTTTATTAGTCAAAAATATTTGAATTTTCAAAAATATTCTTTAATTTTTAAACTCTCCTGTGTCACTTAGAAACCTATGTTAGATGGATTTGTTTTTATTATTCTTTAGGAAAATGACTTCTTAGAAGAATGTTAACACTCTAATTGCCATATTTCAGTTTAAAGGAGTCTAATTGATGTATTCTAGCTGTTTAGTAACATACTTTTTTCTTATATTTATTTGGTTGAAGAATGTGAGAACACTGATAATCATACAGGTAGATGATACCTGTTAAGCTGAACTCTTTGTACCTGCACTCTCTAAGTAAAATCCAATAAGGAAATGTGTTATGAATCAAATTTCTGGTTTGTAGTGGCCTTTAGTGCATAAAGTTGTAAGGAAAGCATTTAAAGAAACTTTACTGTTATTCTCAAAGTTGCGTTCCATATTCCTACCAACACACAGTATCCTGCCTGTCTCATAACTCTGTGCAGCTATTAATTTTCTTAGTTAATTCCCCTGGGACTTTGTTTTGTGTTGGAAATAGGATGTCTCCTATTTAGCTAGGACTCATTTTAGCATAAATATTTTTGAGTAAGAGGTTATAATTAAGTTCTGTGTATCATGCTATGAAATAAAATGGAGGGTAATGAAGCATTAATGAATAGAGGGTTCTCCTGCCTTTAGAAACATGAAATAAATTGTCAGTATCAATGAGACATTTGATCGTAGTTTTCAATATTGTTTGTGTTATATGAGATAATTATAAACAATTGTACTTTGTTTTTGGAATACAAACAAATTTAAACTACTGTATTTTTAAACTTTGTCCTTTTCAGCAACTTTTCTTACTCTCTTTCCTAAAGATAGATTCATTCCATAATCTTCAAAGAACAAAACAATATATTTTTAGTTTTCTGTATTTTACATATATGATTTCTAAAAGGAGAATTCTACAATTTATATAGAATTTATGTAATTGAGATATGGAAAAGATTTTGAAAGAGAAGCATAAAGGATCTGAAACTGCCTTTTGTTAAAACAAAATTAAATACCATTGCATGATACAGATTTTTACTTCATTTTACAGTCATTGTCTCATATTGTACTTTATTTTTGTAGCCCTCAACAATTGGATCCATGGCTTTGACAGAAGGGGCATTGTGTCAACATGATCTCATCAGAGTTGTTTATAGTGATCTTCATCCTCAGAGGGAAACATTCACTGCACAAAACCGGTAACAGTCAAAACTGTAGATAGTAACAATTGTTAATTTATGCTTAATAGTTAACTATAACTACAGTCACATGCTGCATAATGATGTTTTGGTCGATTACACTGATGTTCACACAATGATGAAATGGCCTAAAAATGCATTTCTCAGAATGTATTTCTGTAGTTAGGTGACACATGACACTGTACTTCAGTTCAAGTTTGTCATGAGAAGAGTCTAATAGTTAAATACATCATATTAGTGAAATACATCGTTTGTCCAATGCTTGGTATTATGTTATGGTCATCTCATGTAAAGCAGTGTAAAAACTAAAAGCTTGTGCCTGAAGTCAACCAAATCAGGATTCACACTCTGCAGTTTAGAAGCTTGCCCCTCCTGCTGTTTATCTACTCTCTACAGCTTGGTTCCTCCCTTGTAGAATGGGATTAGTACCTGAAGTTAGACAAACTGCAAAGTTTGAAGATACAGCCTCCAAGACTACCCTCACTTCTGGTACCAACTGAAAGTTTGGGGGGTTCCCAAAACCACCCTCGTTTGATAATTTGCTAGAAGGACTCACAGAACTTACTGAAAGCCATTATTTTTACAATTATGGTTTATTACAGGGAAAGGATACAGATTAAAATCAGCCAAAGAAAGAGATGCATAGAGTAGAGGATGGGAGGATTCCAAACACAAAGCTTCTGTTGTTTTTTCCCTTGGAGTTAGGATACATTACCCTTCCAGCATCAATTTGTGACAGTACACGGAGTTTTGCCAAGTAGGGAAGCTCACTCAAGCTTTGATTTCCAGAGTTTTTATTAAGGTTTCATTATGTAGGTATAATTGATTAGTTTGATTGCTCAAATGGTTGATCTCAGTCTCCAGGTAGACTGATACAGTACGACCCAAAGCTTCTACCTTAAATTAAATGGTCGTTCTTTCTGGCATGGCCATGAAACTTCCAAATGTCAAATGTGGCCAGCCCTACCCTGAGTTCTGGTGTCACCAGCCCCTGCCCTAAACAAAGATACTCCTGTCAGATACGACACGATTACTTCCTAGAAGCAAAGGCCAGACCTCTTATTGGGCAAAGACAAATTCTAGGCAGTCCTGAATTATTATGGTTCGTCTTACAATATTTTGACTTCACAATTATGCTAAAGCAGTTTGTATTCAGTAGAAACCATACTTTAAGTACCCATACAACCATTCTGTTTTTTACTTTCAGTATAGTATTCAATAAATTACGAGATATTTAACACTTTATTATAAAATAGGCTTTGTGTTAGATGATTGATTTTGCCCAACTGTAGGCTAATGTAAAGTGCTCTGAGCACATTTAAGGTAGGCTAGGCTAAGCTATGATGTTTGGTAGGCTAGGCATACTAAATGCATTTTTGATTTTTGGTATTTTCCACTTACAATGGACTTACCAACACATAATCCCATCGTAAGTTGAGGAGCATTTGTGTTTACTACACAGGCCATCCCTTGGCCTTTGGCCAAAGCTCTTCTAAGCAGAAACAATCATGTTTATCTGGGCATCAACATTTACTATAGCATTTAGGTGATAGACATATCAATACTATCATTATGAATATGCTATATGGAGGAACCAGTGTAGATGAGGGATAGATTTAAAGAAATAAATGATTTATTGTATAAAGCCACTGCATTCATTTTAATATTTTTGTACTAATTTGATTACTTCCACCCTCCCCATCTACCTTGTGATATACTTGTACAGAACTACTTGTCATAGAAATTAGGTGATGGTTACCTAAATGTAGTTCTTCATCAGGCCAGTCATTAGTATTAATCCTGAGGAGGCTTTAACTAAACTTACCAATACATTTGACCATGAAGATCAATATTGTAACCTTACCAACAGTGCCAGTGTTATGCTTTGTCATAGGATGGCAGTAGATATAACCTGAAAAATAAAAGCCAAAGATACTGGCACATTATGAGAGTCTCAGTCATTCATTAACAATTATTTCAGTTAATCATCATATCATATGACCAGAATATCTCCTAGAGCAATGCCACTCAAGTTTACAGGCTTCCATTCAACTTCATCATATTCTCAAAGCAGGAGTGGTCTCACCAACATCTGGCTTTACCCTTTCAGGTATCTCGAAATTATATCTGAGCTAATAGTCAGTATCATCTCTTGCTCTGAGCCTCTTTCGAGGTGCTAATGTAATACTGAATTCTCGCACATTGCATGACCCATTTATTCATTCCTTTATCTCAGCTATCATTCCTCTGCCTCTTCTTTTATACTCAAACTTTTCTACCTTTGGAAGAGACATTAGGTTTGGCCACTGTATTGGTCCATACTGCTGGCAGTAATGCTAGTCTAGCAAGTGCCTCCCCTTCAGTCCACTCCTAACCATATAGGGTAGATTTGCATAGGTACAAAACTAGTGTGCTGTCTCGACTACAAGGCAATACTCTACATTCTCTGTCAACCCAATCTTACTAGATGGGATGACGGCACTACCTACCCCATCAGGCCTTTAGGATCTGACATAAAGGTTTAAAGGTATAGTTCTCTGTTCTTGCTTAGGAATCACCATTGCCTCTGGCACCCCACAGTTGCAGCCCTGGTACTGGGGCCACTGCCTTAGGTAGGGGGTGATGTGATGAAAAAAGGAAAAAAGTTTAGTTATACCACCCTCTTCCCTCTCTTCCCCTGACCCCGTGGGAAGAATTGCATAGTCATACCAGCATCATCCCCGCAACCACCTCTCTTAGAATGCCTCAGAAAAGTAGAGGATTCTATTCAGTGATTATCAGCCCTTTCTTGGCCTCCCTCATGTTAAATACATGTGCCTGAAGGCCTGTAAGCTAGCCCTTCGTGCTTTTATCTTTCCACCCACCCTTTTTAGACCACAGATGTTTTAATTCATCCAGTTCTTTTCTTTTTCAATTGCTTGTTCCATTCCATTCAGTTCAATTGCATGTTCCAAAGAGATACCCTGAGGATATCTCTTTGCACATTGTTGGGCCTTATGGGCTGTAAAGTGTGTTCCTTGCTGAAGAAATGTGACTTAGCAGTTCATATTGATGTGGTATCTTCTGTTCTCCTTTTGTTTGTTTGTTTGTTTGTTTGGTTGGTTGGTTTTTGTGACAACTGGCTGGTACAGGGTTGAACCCTGGACCTTTGTGTTATTAGTGCCATGCTCTAAACAACTGAGCTAACCAGCCAACCCTGTTTTGGTCCTTTTATAGCACTCTGAGCATTTGATCTACAATCTCATAAGCAAAGCCCAATGCAGAATAAGTGTCTATTTTTGTCAGGACCCATTTATAGCCTCTAGGGGCTACTGACATCAGTCCAATTTGCCAGCTATGTGCAGCGTCTTCGCCTAGGGGAATCTGTCCCATAGCTATCTATAGTCTTTGTGTCTCTTATTGGCATTTTATGCCTCAGAACCTGCAAAAAGAATATGTCTAAATTCAGCCCATCTCTGCATTGCTGTACTACTGCCATGTCCATTCATTTTGTGGACCCAGTTGGCCACCTCAGGTGGAGCACACTGAGATATCTACTCATTAGTACCAGTCACCTTCTGATTCTAGAAGGGGATTCTCCTGATGTACATTGACAAATCCTACTTTAATGCACTCCTCATGTTACTGAACCAAGTGCGATCTGTTTGCCTGTGTGCCATGGAAAGCCAATCACTGAAGCACATGTCTTTGCAGTAGAGAAGGGTTTAGGCACAAGGGGCTATGTGAGAAGGTGGAAGATTTACATCACAGCAGAGCCTTCCCCACAATGGGGAAGGTAGTACATTTATGGGGAAGTGGTTAGGGGCAGTGCAAGATGCAGGGATCATGATTGGCTAAAGGATTTGGAGGAGTCCATCAGTGATCTGTGTGCAGGCCCAAGCTGTCTGCATGTTCAGAAGATGGTGGCATTAGAAGGGTCTGAAGGTGGAACCCTCAGCTGTCTGATGTCAAAGGGTCAGACGTTCATGCAGGCTCAGTAGAGAGGTCTGCAGGCTCAGCCAGCCTAGCCCGGTATGTGTTGGGCCACACTAATTCCAATGATCCTGGAAAAGAATCCTTAGGCACACAACTCATGACTTCTTGCCAGAGGCTTTAACTTAAAGGGCAGATAGGAGAAAAAGAATGAGAGGTTGTTAGGGAAATTTACTGAAGGATCTAACAATTTGAAAAGGGAATAAATTTAAACTAAAAGCCAGTTACACTGAAACTGCCATAGTGATTTTCATAGGGCTGTTTTCCATACGGGCACCCCATTAACAGGCTAGTTTTCTAGTACCCTTCTGCCTGACCACATGGCATGGACACTGACCACCACTCATGAGCCGGTAAAAACCCAAACATAGCAGCAAACTGCATGCGGTTCAGCCAACCTGTCAAGCTCTTTGTTCTTACCTTCGATCAGAGTGGCAGTCTTCCAAACAGGATACTGTCTATTCACTTTAGAACTGCCATCCATAAACCAAGCAACTCTTTGTTAGTCAATGGAGGAAAATGAAGGAGGACACCTGTTAAAGATGGAGGCACTCTTGCTCTCCAGGATATAGACTTGTTAGCAGAAATGCAAAAAGACTAGGTCAACAAAAATGAGCAAAGCTTAACTGCAAACCACAGACTTCCTATTGAGTTACCTAGGAGACGCGGAGGTATACGAGGGGTTTACAGCTGGGTAAAACATATATAAGACATGCTTTTACCCAATAAAGTTGCTTAGTGCATGTGCTACGCCCCCGAACTTTGTGTCTGGTCTCTGGTTGATCACCTCCCCAGGCAGCAGTCCCTAGCTCAAGGCGTGCCTTGAGCAACTCACCTTGCTGCACTCTCTTGGCAGGGTTGCGTGTGGCTCTACTCCCTGAGGGACTCCTAGCAGAGGCTACATGTAGTCCTTCCTCCTGAAACCCCCAGGACCAAGAGAAAGGTGCAGGTCAGTAGGGAGCTGTTCATAGGGTATTTTCCAGATGGTAATGGAATCTGGCACCTACTCAGGTGGTACCAAAGTCAGC